ACATTCTAAAAAGACAAACAAAAATTGTGTAGACTTTAACCATTCCAACTATATCATATCTTATCTTAAGTCCCGACCCTGACTGCTATCTTTATATTCATGATTATGAGTACGTGAACTCCAAGTCTACCTACTGCTTTACCACATTTTTTTGGCGTACAACATTCCTCACTCACTTCTGATTTAAATGCTTCTCATTTGATAGACAAGAATGCAATAGTCGAAAATTACGAAAGAAATAAAGTTTAAATGAGATAAGCAAGTTTGATCTTTGCATAAGATTGATAAGATTGCTAGTAAGGTAAAAACTTGACTCCACTTTTCATTCGGCACAGCAAAAAGACCAACAGCTAATACATCGTAGCACATCTTCAAGAAAACACTGCATTAAATTAACCGACTTCGTCCCCAGATGCACACACAAGCAAAAGATGGTTATATCAAAGTCAGCAACAAATCTAATGTACTTCACATTATCATTCTCTTACAAATGCTGCCTGATAAACACTTAAAACCAATTTCCTCGCTTTTTATCACAAAGAAGGCAAGGAAAGAAGAACCTGTTTCAATGTTGAGACTTCTCTTTCTTTCTCCTACCTTTCCTTCAAGTCTGCTGTAGCAACTACCAATCACTTTATAAATTTTATCAGTAACAAATTGGTGAGAAAAACCACATTATCACTCAAGGATGTGAATAACAATCATTTATACAAAATACAACTTATCATTTCTATCTGGAAAGTCCCCAAAATTCTAAATATTCCTTTCTTATGTTGTAATTAAAATTAAAACAGCATAAGTTAGTTAGTTCCCTTACCACCAAAAACATTAGCCTTTATGAAAAAGACCGATTACAATATGAACTGAATTGTTCAAATATTATAGAACAACTTATATAAAATAAAATATAAGGTGTGAGTCTACACTAGCGCTTAATAACGACATTCCAACAACAATAACATCACCCATCCATCCATAACTGTACAATAATGACCAAGACTACTGAGCTTTTAACATATTGATGCTTGATAGAATCAAACAAAGTGAAAATTTAAAACCGGAAAATTTCAGTTCTTAAAATGACAAATATATCTTAAAATGGAAAACTGAAACTCCTTCACACAAACTGTCTTGCAGCATTAAAAAACGAAAATATTCAACTTAAACAACAGGACTTTCCTGTATTTTTTAAAACCCTTCAAAGAATTTAAAACCAAACTAAAACAGTGAGAATGATATAGAAAGTTTAAAAAGCCAACGAAACTAAGAAGTGATAAAACTGATTCTAAAACTTCTAAAACTTGATGAACTTTATTTTAATGAACTAACAAGTAGACTACGTGATAGGATGAAAACATTCGAATTGCTGTAAGCATTAAAATAGACTATTCATAATAATGACAATAATAAAGCACTCCTGTAAGATTTTAAAACCCTTCAAATTTGTGAGGAGAACTAAAGAGTCGTCGTTTTCGCAGGAGAATCTTTTTCGAAATATAAAATGAAAGCATATTTCGTACATACTGAACCTACGTCGATTGGTGTAACGACATCATCATCAAATAACAGCCACTGATTACGATTCTGATTACGAACCATACAAGTGTAGTGTCCGCTATTTAAATTTCCTTTATGGTTCTAAAAATTTTAATTTATAAAAATCCATAAATTACCGCACTAATAGTTAACTTAATAACGAAAAAGATAATTAAGTAAAACTTACTACAACAGCATACAAATTGTAATACTCATTTTGAAGCTCCAGTCGCAATGTGTCGAACCTCACATTGATATTATTTTTTTGCCATCTATCTCCAATAAATGTGAAACGCTTCAAATGTATGACCTGAAATTAAGTGAAATTTTTTTAGGCACAATCAAAAAGATAAACTATGTCTCTTATACAATTATTGTTCATTTGTATAATTTCTATCATAAAACTTCGTTTAGGAGTATTATCATTTAAGTTCAACAATTTTTTTAATATTAGCATTTAAATACAATTTAAATTAATACAGTTGCTTTCATTTCAATAATATGTAATATTAGACAGCACTGGAATATGAAAAAATATAACTAAATTTTTTATATGAAAAAATATATCTAAATTTTTTCACTCCGTTTTTTAACGCATGAATCTATTGAAAAAGGTAAAAATACTAACTAGAATTAACGGGAGTTTCCACAATAACATTTTACGAGTCGCACTTTGCAAAGACTGACAATCAGGGCACCGCCATTTGCATGAACCATCAAGTTCCTATGAATTAATCATAATTAAAACGATTCTAAAAAATCAGAAGAATATAAGATTTGTGAACAAACGAACCACATCTTGAAAATGATTGCGTATGCAATCTTCAAGCAGTGCTAAATTTTTGTCTGGAACTTCAACTGATAGCTGGACCAGTTCCTCGAAAGTCACACTTTGTCTTTTGCATTTATTACATTGCAAACTAGACATTGTTTGACACTAAAAATATGCAGATATTGCAATACAAAACAGTTCAAGAGCAAAAAGCAGCCAAGAACAACAAAAAATATCGCATTTCTTTACAACACGAGGTTCAAAAGAATACTAATTTCATTCATTCAAAGAAGGTAAAATAATCCCAAAAATTATGATAAAAAAATTAGAGCAAAGAAAAGACAAAAAATAGGTTCTAGTAAAAACTCGCTTCCGTTAAAAATTACATAAAATATAAAGTTGAATGTGTCGCTAACTGGTGAGCTAGCAAAGTCCTTCAATTTTCTCTACAATCAGCCACTTCTGCTTTCAAATTTTCAACAACAATTACATAAAACATAGAGCTAACGTTGAATGTGTCGCTAATTGGTGAGCTAGCAAAGTCCTTCAATTTTTCTCTATAATCAGCCGCTTCTGCTTTCAAATTTTCTCCTGTATAGTTCTGTTCAAATGAGATACGTTTCACCACCTTCAAATTCAAATTGAATCAAATATTTACTCTATCTTGCACTAACAAAACTAAAAATTTTCAAAACTATATCAATAATTGTTACGAGTTTAAACTCTTATCATCTGAGTTTCAAAATTTTTTAACTACTGAAAGTTACCCGATTTGTATCTTCATGTAATGCATCAAGTAAATATATCTGGAATTCTTGCGCATCATGCTGCTGACCATTTGCTAACGAAGCATTTACTTCAGCAGCGAATGTCTCCTTGAAAATTTAACCAAATAAAATTTACGGAAAAAACTCTCACATAGCGTTTAAGAAATATTTTTGATTATCATAACTTTAAAATGGCTTTCAGACATACAAGAAATTGCTGCGGTCGTAGGACACTATACATTCCACTCCAAGCAGTATCCATCAGTGCTGAAAATGCTGATGATATGACTCCCATCGTTCCCACTCTGTTGTTTCTAAAAGCAACTTATAAGAAATACGAAATAAAGTAAAAACTTACAGAGGATATTCAAAAAAAAAAAACTGCTTGGCATTAAAGTAGTACCTGTTCACGTATTTCATAAACTTGTCTTTAGTGAATATCTTTCGAAGAGGAGCTGTATTTAATAGCGCTTGTAAAACAGCATTCATGAAACACGTATTTTCGAGATTGTAAAAGCCAGTGTATCCAGGACACTAAACTTTTACATTTAATATTGCTAAAAAGTAAAATAAATCAAATAAGGAATAAAAACTTATTTCAGTGAAATTATAAACCCTTATAATACATTTACACAATTACTTACACAATTTCGGGAGACACCAGAGCTACTAAGAATGTTCAACATAGACCCATATAACTGAAGTAGTTTCTCCTCAATATCTCTGGAAATAAATATCTTCATCAGAGCCTGCCTTCAATAATTCGAAATGTGTAGTCCCTATGAAGCAAGACAAGTAACCAGCTCTTATTCCAGATAAATCAAACATCTATTCATTTTAAAAGCAATACTTTTGACTTGCTTGAGGTTTCAAAAGTCTGTCTGGTACGTTTGGCATAGTAACTGCACTTCTAGATCTGAGACTGCAATAAAAATCATGATGTACATATTAAATGCATTGAATAAATCAAAACTGAGTTGAAAAAAATAATAATAAACCGACTTTTTATCACAAAACTTCGCACCACCAGCTACTACTCGAGTTGATTTTTTGATAGGTGATTTTGACTTGTCTTTGATAGATGTCTGAAAACAATGCTTTAAATAGAAGTTAATAGGTGAAAAATACCTCATGTATTAAAAACAACTGCTAAGAATGTGCTCAAGTCATTTCTTCATTATAAGAATAATTATTTCCTATATCATTCTCCACAGACGAATTTGCACCTGAAAACCAGTTTATTCTGAATAAAATAATGTAGCTAAAAAAAGATAAAATGCCATTCAAGTAGATTCCCAGAAATGATTAAAATAATGGAATCAAACTTGTCTGGAAGGCTTCTTGCTTCGGTCAATTAGAGGAGGTTCATTTGCTGCAGACGCAGGAACTACATCGTTACGTTTATCATCACTGGTTTCGTCAGCACCACAGATATGTTTGGGATCTGAAACATCAAAAATTTTGATACAACTTCTAACAACAACATATTTGCAACCACCAATAATCGATAATATGAAAGTAACTGTAAAATAAAGCATCTCATTAACAAGGTACGAAACTCAAAAACTAGTCTAAAAATTGATCAATAATACTATCCTCTATATTTGTCTACATAAGGGAATTTTATAATGGAAAAAGCAACAGACAAATTGTTCCTCCTAAACACAGACTGAAAGACGAAAAAGATACCCGTTACTATTTCCGAAGCTGCTACAGCATTAGACTCGGAACCCTTTCGATGATGTATGGCACTGTCTGAGATGCTAGAGTGAGGTGACTGATTGGGTTTAGAATGAGATGCAGACAGTAACTGAGGGTATTCTAAAGAATCGATTCCGTAGTCTGAAAGAAAATCTGACAATTAAATGTGAAATATCTATTTTTTACCCCTCTTCAAACAAATGAAAGCATCAAACTGATAAATTTTCTCATATAACAAAAAATTTGCAACCTTTTTTGTATTCAGCAACAGCCTTTGCAAATTCGGTACGACTTGCCGCAATATCAATAAATTTTTTTCGAACTGCAGATTTTGTAGATGTGTGCATTGGATAATACAAGCGCCAACTCTCAAACCCACCTTTCAAAAATTTTGGCGGATTTTTCAAACGAAAGTTATTATTGTACTGAAATATGTAAAAGAATCAATGAAAAGAAATAGCTTATGCAACGCAACTATAAGTTATTTTGTAACGCAATCCACTCTTTCATTACCAGCAACAGATAACATAACTATCCCATTCATCCATTCAGTCAGTCAATCATTCAATCGATCAGTCACTCATCCATTCACTTGAGCATTCATCGAATTATCAATTTGATGCAGCAGTACCGTAGATAATGCACTGTAGAGAATCTGTTCCTTCGAGCCCGCAACCATGTTTTTTTCATCGATTGGAGCTCGATCACTTCCCATAAGCACTACTATGTCAACGTCGGCCATACGTTGAAGTAGTACTCGCTGACCGATCTCAGCCGAACGGATCAATGAAGAACCAATACAACTACAACACTACCCATAGGCATGCAACAACACTTGCACAAGCTATCGTAAAATCAATAAAAATATGCAAAGAGAGACTAAATAGCTGAAACAATCAAATAAGAGCCACTTTCCCTCCAAAATAAAATTCCCATCCTAAAAATCGATAAAAACAAACACTCTTAAAAATGTTTAGCGGGAACTGAAGAAATTATGATTACGCGTTTTATAAATTGCCACTCAAATTAGTCGCGGAAGATTATTGTAATTCTTTTATTTTATATTCATTACTTTAGTATAAATTAAGACAAGGAAAATGGATAATATTGAAATGCTGAAACTGATCAGGAACAGAAATAATCAAAAATTTCGTTTTCGATAATTATTACTTAGAGAGAAACACTTGCAAGATCTATCTATAGATAGCGTTGGAAGTGCACGTCTTTCATACTGATCTGGGAAAAATACTGTCGTAAGTAAATGGATTTACCCTGGGACGACAGCATCAGCAGGAACTTGCGCAACCATCAACTGATTGCCACTTGTATACTGTATGATGTCAGTCTGATCACTCCGATAGTCAATAATAAGGGCTTGATGTTTTGAAGAAATATAACGTACTAAATCCCGTGGATCTATCACTAACGAATCATCTCAAAAATAGTAATCCATCAGTAAGCTAATTTAACATCAAAATGATTATATAAGATTTGACGGCAGTTGAAAAAGTCATTGTATTTCATATACATTGAATTTTATTTGGTTCAAGAATAAGAAGCTAAATTTGAGTACAAATATAAGGCAGAATAATAACTGATCAGATATTTAAACAAAAAAATAGATACCTGTCAAATCAACTTCATGTTTATTTGCCCCATCATGTTGCATAATGTCAACATTTTTTTCACTATAACTTTTTTCAACATTTTTTAACTCATATCGTTTAATTAAACTTTCTTCCAATTCATTCATAAAACCAATGCATTGCTCGAATAAGTGATATAAACGACGACCATTCTGAGTTTAACCATTCATTAAAAAGGTTAAGCACTGTAGAATTTTAATTGTAAGATTGCGTAAAGTTTTCAGTACTATGCGCTAATTACTCCTCAAGAAGACAGATTAACTTGAACTGAATAAATTAAACAACTTTGAGAAATTGACTAATTTGGAAATTTATCAGTTTATAATGCAACAATTAAGAACAGAGGTAGTTTTTTAGGTCCTTCAGTTAATTTAAAATTAGTACGATTGAGTTCCACAATTTCAATGTAAAACTTTTTCACGTAAATTATCATTACAAGCTGAGTCTCACTACTGATTGAATCAATTTTATCATCTATGCTTATAACTACCGGAGAATTCTTGAAGTCATCAAAATCATTTTTGCTAATGATTAGCTTTGAGATGATACCCATACGCATGAATAACTTATAGGCATCTTCTTCATCTCCTTCCTTCATTTTCAGTCTTGCTTCATCATAGACACGTTCTGCATGATCGAATGCTCTTCAAAATTTCATCTTACACAATTTACAGCGTATTTAATACTTTATCGTTAAGAAAATATTACTTTATTTTGGCAGTAACTGCACCAAAAATAAAACCACTGCAAAAACTAGACGAAAATTATTTCACTTGCAAGAGGTAAGTCGTCCAATTGTCTGCTCCCATTTTTGCTTATGATTAGCATCACACCACGACTTCAAGTGTTCCAAACTATCAAAGCGTAAATCTGCGAGACGAATTGTGCCAGAACGTTTTAAAACCATACTGAAAATCAATAACTCCTACTACTACTACCTCAATTGCTTAGGATGAACTCTTAATGCCGTTTAATCCTTTGCCCGGTAAATACGTATGGTTGACAAAATTTAGAAATATGATTTACTGCAGCCAAAATTTGCATACGTTTGTGAATAATATACTAAACAATAAAGGGATAACATTTACTGAGTAAAAGTATGATAAGAAAATAATTTCAATAAAAAGTTTACTCGTGGACACGTTTACAACTGCGGTCTGTGCACTTTAATTGCTGAGACAACTAGTAAAGTAGTCAACACATATTTCTATACATTCAGTTCTTACGTTCATTCATTCATACATTTATTCAAATTGCAATTGCTCTGCTTCATTCTTCATTTTCGTGTTTCATCGCAAGTTGTGTCAGAACCGCATTAGTGTTTCAATTAGGGGATAGAATTTGCAGTATATTGGTGGGAATTTGCTTGTATGAAATGTTTCTTTTGTTTGGTACCACATGCAATTGAGAAATATTATGGCAGATGCTCTAAAATATTTTTATGTCAGCTAAGAATTGCAAGATATGGTTTGTTTGATTGCTTGACTAGTTGACTTGCTCATATGAAATAGACAACTGCATTCATTTCGAAAACCAGAAATGCTATTTGGGTTTCGTTCCGTCTCTGCACAATCTTCTTTTCTGTACACCTGATAAAATCGTACCCTCAGTCAGATTGAAAAATTCTTTAAGACGTTTGAGTGGCTTAAGTCAGTATTCAAATGCATCAAATGAGTTTTTTGACTTTAGTTTCTTTGTGCTCTTACTTGACTTCATGTATTAAAATTTAATATTTCTTTTATTATTTATACATTTAACATTTCATACGGCGGATGTACAATTTGCGATAGTGGTTTGATCGGTTTCAAGGTGCATTAGATTTAGAGAGGAAGAAGTGGGGCAAAATAATTTTTCGCATTCATGTGCAGTTTTGTCTCATAGTGGATCCTATCACTTTAATATATCTCGTTAATACTAGTATTTTTCATTTTCTTTGCTAGGAAAATTATTCACATTGATAAGATTTTCATATAATAGTTTCCAAAATTTACATGTTTGTCTGTTGCTTTATATGCTTTACGATTTGCATATTTGTGAATTGCGTTATATACTTAATCGTAAATCTTTTGTTTGCTGGTTGATCGTGCACCAAATAATTTTTGCTGGAGTTATGAATTGTGAGTTTGGTACTATTATACCACACAAATTTTGCAAGTTTGTTTTCTTCAATAGATCTTTCAATTTTAGTCGTAAGCAAGATGCCTGTGCCAGAATTAGAATCTTCTAAAGAAGAATTGGCCACAGAAAATCCAGTTGCATTAGAAGTTACGGAAGAAACAGCTGAATCTAATAGTGCTGCAAACGATTTAAGTCATGTTGAAGTGAATATTTCTGAAAGATAATTCTTTTTTTTTCCTAGTTGAGCATAGAGTTTCGTTTTTTTAAGAAAACAGGATATCCTTCCCAAAAAATTACTATGAGTCGTAGCAATCAATGTTTCGATACTGGCAAAAAACTTCTACATCTTTTCCATATGTCTTTGTTCGTTTCCTTGATGTATGAGAATTTAAAATACAATCATAAACTGTGAAGAAAAATTTTAGGCTTCTGAACCGGAGGATACAGCAACGATACTTCCAGAATCACTATCGCGTCATCCTTTACAATGTCGTTGGGCTCTTTGGTATTTAAAAGCTGATCGAAATAAGGATTGGGAAGATTGTTTAAAACAAGTAGCTATGTTTGACAGCGTCGAAGATTTTTGGGCGTAAGAATCATTTCATGTCCTTAGATGCATGAATGTATGCCATTTTACCTCTGTATTTTTCTGCTTAATAATTTTTTATATTTTAATGTTTAATTCGGCATTAATTTATGTAAGAAATTTTACTATTGCTCTTTTGGTATTCGTATTTCGTGCATCCATTTCTGTGCTTTTGTATCACTTAATTGTGGGCAGTTTTTAAGTAAATCATCAGATTGCAAAAAGAATGAAATTTCTTGCGAATAATATTTTATTTCAGCTTGGATGTTCTAAAACTTGCAAATATTTTTTGGATAATTTTGTTAAGTGTATTTCTGCAGGGTATTCATATTTTATTTCAGCCTATATAACCACATTCAGAAAGCATCTGGTCTCAATTGGGGAAGTGATTATTACTTGTTCAAAGAAGGTATCAAACCCATGTGGGAAGATGAAAATAATGTGAAAGGCGGTCGATGGCTTGTTGTAGTTGACAAACAGAAGCGAGCACAGTTGTTGGACCGTTATTGGCTCGAGCTATTAATGGCAATCATTGGAGAGCAATTTGAAGAACACGGTGAATATATTTGTGGTGCAGTTGTGAATGTTCGTCAAAAAGGGGACAAGGTCAGATCCAGTGATATTAATTCTTCAGCCGAAAAATGCTGTTCGCATATTTTATGCACAGGATAAGCTTATTTTATCTGCGTACATTCTGATTAAAGCCATTATTCCTCTCTAGCCAGCGAACCACGTCGGATTAATTGAAGTTGTAGGTTTCTTTGTGGACGCGAGATTCATTAAAAGATGATGTGAATCTACGCATTGGTCAGATCTTGAAAGCAAAACTAGAAATTCCTGATACAGAACCTATTCGTTATGAAGTTCATAAGGTACGTCTCTCTATTAAACAATCTTTTTTAGGCGAGAAAACAACTCTCTGTTTTATTTAGTGACGAAGTCACCACTTTTTTTGCGTTTTAGGATTCATCAGTACGTACGGGATCAATGGTCAAACCTCGTATCGTCATTCCGATGAAAGAAACACGATAAGCATAGCAATCAGTTGCACAAAAATTGTTTATTTTTTCTTACCAAAGAGTGATTCCTATCCATATTCCTGTATTCATGTCATTTTTCGTTTTTTGTTTTAGAATAAAAACGTTGTAATCATAGCCGATGAGTTGCAACTTCATAGAGAAGAGTTACTCAAATGATGCGTATGTTTCCTATGTTCGCTTTTTTCGTTGCTCATCACAATTATACTCGTGAGACTAACTGAACTTTTAAGCCAGAAAATAAGCTAACAAATGAAGTTGTGTAGGTTCAGGAGTCATTCTAGTTTCTATATTCCAGAAAATTAAAAGTATTTTAGATTCATATTCTCGAGGCTATTGTGATGTACTTTGGTGTCACAACATACCAGCCAGTCTTATATGACCATAATAGATTAGAGTATGTCAAAATTTGCAGCGAGATGAAGATAAATTTAATATATTGACGATGAATGTCAAATGCTGACCACATTTAAATCATTTTCGAACTTTATGTCTTTGAACTGTAGTTCTGTTTCAGTCGATCAAAATGTGAAAGAACAAGTAGTCTGAGGAGTTATTTGTCAGAGATACTATGCTGAAAATGCATTTCCCTGTCTAACATATTTATACAGCACTTTTCGAATAAAAAATCTGTACAGGAATTATGACCCGACAATCGTTTAGAGCTGACAAGGTCTAGATATGAAGACTTGAGGTGATTAAAAGACGATGACTGCATGCTTTGCTCTTTTTCTCTGGAAGAGATAGTGGTAGGTACGTATAGAAGAGATAGTTTGGTGATGATAGGTACATAAGAGACCAGATAGTTTGCAAGCCATAGTCTCCATTTATTCAACACACGAATTCTGGCTTTGATGCTAACTGAGTCTCACGATGGCTCATTTCTTCTTGCTCCAATGCCTGAAATAGTTATTTGATCTAAAAAATTTTTGAATCACTTTTAGATAGAGTGCACAGATTCAATCGTTACTAAGCAGAATAGTCATGATCTAGTTTTTTTTTTCCAAAAATATATAGTCATTTGTAGTAATGCTATGAGAGTAGCCAGACATTTGAAAATATCGGACAAGAACCTTTTGAGCATCTTTTTCAAGTTGTTCATGCTGTTCTTCATGCCTTCTTGCCAATTGTTCTTCATGCTTCTGAGCTCTAAAATAATGCATAGTGGGATAATCTGCTTTTTTCTGAAGACAATATGCAAGAATGAAAATAAAGTATCATAATCAACACTTACTTGATTGCTAGTCTTTTTCGCTCTTCACAAAAAACTTTCAAGTTTTTCTCGTTCATTTCTTTTATTCGTCGGTCTTTTTCCGCCTTTGTCTTGATGTTTTTATCCTAATGACAAAAATCTTTCAGTCTATACAGTTTGCATTGCACAGGCATTGAAAAATATGACCTCATATGTGAAAGAATACCTGCTGAATTGTCCGAACATCTTCCATACTTTTTTTGGTTTGAGCTTGTTTCAGATCCTTATTTTCTGCTTCTAGCCTTAGTTTAAGCATATTCATTTGCTGTTTTTGAGCTTCTTGAAGAAGTTTCCTGAAAAACAAAAACTTGAACTATAGCGAATGATTGATTTAATAGTCACTCATTTCATCAATTTTTTGCAGCACTTATCTGACTTTAGTCCAGCTTACCCAATGTTTACATTTTTTATAGGTTGCAGAGAATAATAAAGTATCATTTGCCTTAGAAGATCGAATTCTTCCTTTATTTGCAATTTTTTCAATTCATAACATTCTGTCTTATGTCTTCGCATCATGGAAGACCACTCATCTGTTTGAAACATCACTAAAGACTTCATCTGGAAATCATATGTCACTGATAATGCAGTAAATTTTTAAAAGCATCAAAGGCATTATTAATACAATATTGATAAATATCCATGACTATATTTTTTTACTGTCTTCAATACTTATTTTAACGTCACCAAATCATTTCACCAGAATAGGATGAAAAAATTATTAATACATACTTTGTGACTGTTAGCCATATCAACACTATCTAGCTTTGGATCAGATTTTAGTTGTGATAATGGCTGACGCTTCTGACTGCCCGAATGATTCACCACTGTTCGTCTTTTTGACTGCTTGTGACTATTACAAATCAATTTATCCACTGTTATTTGCTGTAACTAATTAAAGAGTAATTATAAATATCCAACAATCACAAAAATTCAAGTATTATGTTACAAAAACCTTAATTACTTAATCCTTGTTATCACTAGCAGAATTTTACCCATCAGAGCACACAAAACTAGATATACTTCAATTATGCTCTAAAGAGTTTCCTTTTATATTTTATAATAATTTTAGAATAAAAGTAATCTAGACGAAATTAAATGTAATACCACAAAAATCTCATATCTGGCAATACGATATTTTCAACCTAAAATTTGTATAATACAAAAAATTTTCGAAAAAAAAATAAAAAATATATTCATCAACTATTTCCAAAAATTATATATGCTAATAACATTTACACATCGAGACTAGAGAAAATGATATTTAAATTTTGATTTCCAACATTAGTATGAGAGCCAACCTGTTGCTTCTGGACTGATTCTCGTTGCTTTTGATGACGCTTCTTTTGTTCCTCCATATCCTTTTGGAACTTTCGCACCAACTTTTGGAAGCATTTACCTTTTTTCAGATCGTTTATGTTGAACGCTTCTGCCTAAAAAGCAAGTTTTCATAATTAAACAAACGATTATATGAAAGGTATTGTTATCTCAGTATTCCAGAACATATTTTATAAGGAGGAAAAATTTCAAGCAGATGGAATGCCATTACTGAAATATTTCAGATTCGTAGTAAGATTTTTTTGAATTCGATTAATGGGTTGTAAACACTCAAAACTTTCTAACGCTGTTTACTCTACTATACTTTTGCCAAATAAATTTAAATCCACAATTTAATTATTATTTAAACCGAAATCACAACTGAATGGAGTAATGGTGCCTCCAAAAAAGGAAAATGGAGACACCGATCACATGCTTTAATTTATAGCGTAAAGCTATCAGTAGTAAACGAACCACATGTCGTGGTATTTGCTATGTTATATTGCTTCAGAGTAATTTAATGCAAATAAGCCGACAGTAAGAATTTTCTTACAGTATAATGCAAGATGGGAAAGAATGCACAAGAAGATTAAGAAAAGCCGATTAGGTAGTATCCCATGCCTCCTTTTGGTTGATTAATTTTTTTGCATGAATTGTCACAATCGCTTAATTTCACTATTATTTGAAGTTTGCTTATTACTTACAAAATTAATTTTTACATTGACAAGCTCGTTTAGACTCTATCCAAAGCTTATTCATACGGCTTACTATTTACATTTTGCAGAATTCCATTTCATCGAAATGCATTTTTATGATCTTATGAACTATAACACTCCAGATAAATGGAGAGATGCAGATGTAAATAGAACAGCATGCTTGATTGAGCTAAAATGTGTCTAATTACCTTTTGTTTGTTATCTGTACATTCTAAATTTGGACGACAGCTTTCTTTAGGGAAGATTGCTGACTTTGATGACCTGAAAAGATCTAAAATCCTTCTAAAAGAACACTTGACACTGAAAAAGTAAATGTGAAAAAATGAGCAACAAAATTAATGTTTGAAATTGTGCAATTTTTTAAAAAATTATGCAAGCACTTACTCAAAACTCTGATCCGATACATTCCCATTTAATCGCAACAGAATATTTCGATTAGATGTCGTCTTTACTGAACTCGAACTTACTTCAACTATATCTGAATCTTCCACTCCCATATTATGTAATGCCTCTTTCCGCTTTTCTTGCGCAGAAACATAAGCTCGTGGATCTGCTAAAGCATCCACTAGACCTGAAAATCTAGCTAAAAATCAATGCTACACCAAGTTTTCGATAGCAATCTTTCTTGGGCTATCTAATAACTGCTTAATTACTTTACTGTTAAAAAGCACATGAATTGAATTTTTATGTACAAACAAAAAAATTTAGGCAAATATTTAATTTGTGAAAATAAATTCTAATACTTATATTCTGCTTACTTTTATTTGTCCACCTAGGATAATTTGAGCAACAGCTTACCACTCAACTCATCGGGCACATATGTTTTGATAACAATGTGAACGAAAAGACATGGTAACGTCATCGGTATGTTCGACTCTGTACGAAGTGTTATGTGTCGATAGCCTGCCTGTAAACCATCTAAGGGCAATATTCGCTGCCCAAGCTGTTTGCCATTTTCGTCATAAACAGCAAATCGTAAAAGCGCTAATTCTGGTAAAACAACCTGAAACCAATAAAATAACAAAACTTAAATTACAAGTTTTTTTTATTGTTTAAGTTTTAAAAACTATCCCGTAGAATATCGACTCAAGTACGATTATATTACTTTTCTGAAAACAAACGCATCGCTATTGTAAGTAGGATTTAATCCATTAGCAGGAACAGTACGCGTTCTATGTTCTTTTCGTATTGTATCCGTTGGAAGGCCATACATTTCTACTTCAACGTAAGTGCCAATTTTTTTATCACTTAAAAAATGACCTGATATGACCTGAAAAAACAATTAATAATTCAAACCTTCTTAAAAACTAATAAAATTAGATATGGAATACATATGCGCATTTATTTCAAATGCGTTTATTTAAACTCAATTTCGCTCTTAGAAATGTTCGCTTCTCTACATGTTGAAAAAAAAAGGCAAAAAATTAACAAATAACCTTCACAGAGCAATGTGCTGCAATCACACCATCAACTGGTGATTCAGAAAATGGATCGAATGATCTGTCTGGTCGCCTCATAAAATCTGGCTTCAAAAGATATCTAAAGAGATTCCGTCAAATGTATTACCCATATAATTTATAAAGAATTGAAAAAAATAATTGTAAGATTTGATGACGGATTAGTGATAGTTCTCCACTACCAACTGATGATATGCCAAATTTCTGGCACAACAAAATTTTGCTTTCATTTATTGTGAATAGTGTATGAAGAGTTAAAATTGATAAGTTCACAAAAATTTCTTTGCAAGTTGAAAAAACCATCGTCTTTCGAGGTATAATTTTATGTTTGTGCAACTCTAGTGAGCATAATTTTTAAGGCGAAAATGTACCCGCATCCACCATTGTACTGAAATTTTCCCTGATTCAACTGCATTGAAATATCAGGAGTTTGGAAATTCAGTGCTACCATCTGACAACCAGCATTCCAAAATATCTGAAAGTATAATCACTGTAATTAATTAACATAATACTACAAAATTTAATTTATTAGAACAAAATCCTTTTAAAAGTGTTAATGATTACTATGACTAATATAATGTCTTACATACTACTGAGTGTTAATACATTCTAATTTTTTAAATGATCCTTTACAGCTTTTCATTGAATCAACTCATGCAAAATCTTGGAGATAAAATTCAATAGATGCTGAAAATTGAGAACACACAAATAATATTCGACTAAAAAAATGAATAGTAAGCAAAGAGACGGAAACCTGTGGTAAAAAATTACTGGAATCGACACGAGCGCCTTTCGGATATATTCTACATAACTGACGTTTATTATAATTAACGAATTCAGGAGCACTTTGTTTCAAATATCCCAAACCCGTACTTTCTGAGAATGAGGACATATGGAAATGTAGATTATTTGCTGAAAACATTTTCGGAAAATTTTTTTAAAGAAAATCCGTATTTTACAAGAAATTTTGCTACAGTCTGCCTACAAAGTAGCAAGATAAGATTGCTTATTACCTTCAGCAACATCAAAACCAGAAAATTTCACAGGATGTGTGTAATTAACAAGGCTCGACAAGAGTGGATGTATATTGTTAGTTGCACCAGTGTAATGGTATTCCGCAAAAATTTGTTCCTCATCTTCTCTCGTTAATTGTTGCTAAAATAAAATAATGGCAACAAAAGGAATGCAAACACGAATCTGATTTGAATAACACTTTGAAAGCGTTGTTGAGAGAAGAAAGAAAAAACAAAGCAGTGAAAAAAGAGAACTACCGACATGTATGTGCTAACAAACCAAATCGCTTGTGAAAGACGCTTACTTCAGGGAATGAAAAGTTAATGACACAAAAGTTGAAAAAAAAAGAATCAAAAAAACAACATAACAGCATTTTTCATATTTTAGCACTTACTGACGAGTAGAAAAAACGAGACTAGGCAGGAAAGAATATCTATTGAAGATTCGTGCAGCATTAGTACGAACAAATAAAATTAGTCTAGTTTATTGCAAACAAGAGAATGAAAAACTGTTATTTGATTTTGTCATCCTCTGCAAAGCACACATATTAGATTACCAACAAAAGAAATTTCTTTGTCTATCTGAAATAAGTCTGATTCACTGGAACTACAGAACGAGCATTTTTAAATTTTAAGTTAATCTTGACTTTTCCTTATTTAGCAAGTACTGAGATCAGCAATCATCAGTACATACTAATAACACCACTAAAAACACAAAAATAATATTAAGCATGATGTCATGGACGAATACGTTATACTCGACCATTACAAAGTGTTGGCATTTCATAATATATATAAGCCAAACAACAGATAAATTAGATTAGCATATGAATGATGACATCAATAGCTATTCGAGCAGTCTCACGATAAAAAAAAGTCAGTAACTGTTGAAAAGTTTTCATTTACAATAATTGCATTGGATAAATTTCCTGAGATTTATAAACACCCAAATTTCTTACGCAGTAAGTAATGAAAGATTTCTGCAACTGCTATGCAACTAAGAAAATAAGAAACAAGCAAGAAGAAGAATCGTCAGAAGTGGATGAATAGAGATAATTTCATATGATAACACTACCAAATCATAATGTCCAAGAAAAGAGGTAAACATAGTGACATGAAAATGAGATAAAAGTGTGAAAAAAATGATTTACGTGATCGCGAATCAATGAGCCTCTGCTATATAGCATATGCCAACAATAATAACAATAACAAGGAAATACCAGAGTTATCAAACATAACGTTGCTAAATTACGAAAATTCTCAGTGATTCATCGAGCAAAAAAAA